AGACTATTTCCAAGGGGCTGGAGTGCCAGGACAAGGGGAAATGGTTTCACACTGACAGAGAGCAGGGTTAGATGGGATATTGGGAAGAAACTCTTCCTTGTGAGGGTGGGGAGGCCCTGGCACAGGTTGCCCAGAGAAGCTGTGCCTGCTCCATTCCTGGAAGTGTCCAAGGTCAGGTTGGAGCAATCTGTGGAAGGTGTTCCTGCCCATGGCAGGGGTTGGAACTGGATGGGCTTTAAGGTCCCTTCCCACCCAAACCATTCCATGATTGCCTAAAGCCCCACATGCTCTCTAATCTTCTGTGCTTCTGATTTAAGTTGAAAACATCCTCTGGGCAGGGCGGCTGTTCTGAGACACGGAGCTGTTCGGGGGCAACTTCACAACCGTATTCATTCCAGTTTGGGACGGGAGCTCCGCATCCCACCCAGCTCGGCCCCGTCCCTCCCGATCCCGATCCTGGTCCCGATCCCGGTCCCGCACCTTCCCCCTCTCGCCAACAGGGGGCGCCGCCGTCCCCCGCGCGCGCCGCCGCGAGCCCCCGCCGTTCCCCTGCCGCGATTGGCCGGGCCGCGCGAGGCGCGCGGCGCAATTGGTCGCCTGCCGCCAGCCCGGCCTATATAAGGGGAGCCCGGGGGGGGGCGTGTCCGCAGTCCGCGGGCGCTGCGGGCGGGGGCTGAGCGGACCAAGATGGCGGCGGCGCGGGCTGTGTGCGTGATGCGCGGAGAGGGGCCCGTGCAGGGCGTCATCCACTTCGAGCAGCAGGTGAGGGACGGCGCGGGCACCGAGCCTCCCCCCGGGAGGCTGAGACACTGCCTGCGGCTCTATCCACCCCCCGGGGGCCGGCGGGAGCTGCGGTTCCAAATGGCCGCGGCCCTTGGGAGCTGCGCCGTCGCCTCTGGGAGGCGGGGGAGCGGCTGCGGGGTCATCTGCGCTTTCCAGTGGAAGCACGGGATCGTTCTGGAAGGCACGGCCAGATAACGGGCACCGCTTGTGCTCGGTGATAAATAACGGGAAGGCTGCATTAGAGGTGGATAAAGAAATTCAGACGCTCTGTGCAAGGCGGTGCTGGGCTTGTGGAGGAGCCTGCAGGGCTTCCTGTCACCTTGGCTTGACAGAGCCGTGTAATGCCAAAGTCCTTGTGGTGATGATAAATCCTTTCCTTTCAAGGGTGATGGACCGGTGAAAGTTACTGGAAAAATCACTGGATTGGCTGATGGAGAGCACGGCTTCCACGTCCATGAATTCGGGGACAACACGAACGGTAAGGTGTCCATCCACGGCTGGAGTGTGGGTGCTCAGCTTCAGAGAGCTTCCTGCAGTGTTGCAGCAGGACTTGGGTCTGGCAGCTGCAAATCTGTGTTAAGAAATGTATGGCGTTTCCCAAGGAAGTGCTCCCTGTGTAATCCTCTGAACGTGTTGAGGCTGGTGGTCAAGGTCTGCCATCCCAAGCAGTCGCCTGGAGGGTTGGATACCCCAGTGTTAAGAAATAAGAAAGCTCCCGGGTGAGCCCAGGGAGCTCTGGAATGAGCAGTTGTACTTAATTGGACTTCTGAGTCTGCAGTGGGTGATTTACACCCAGAGGATTAGCGGGACATGCAACAGGAGAGCAGCTGCTTCCTGATGGGTCCCTGGGAGCAGCAGGTTTGCCCTGACGGATCCCTGTGCTGTGTTCCAGGGTGCACCAGTGCCGGCCCCCACTTCAACCCGGAGCGCAAACAGCACGGGGCCCCCAGCGACGCCGAGAGGTGAGTGCAGGGCTGGGCGGGGACAGCCCAGGGACGCCCTGGTAATCCTGCAGGATGTGTAAGGTCACGTCACCGGGACTGTGCTCACTGTACAGCAGTTTGTTTGGCACGTGGGCTCCCTGAGTGTGGGGTAAAATATCATCTTTGGGATGTGCCACTGGTTTTGTTGTGGCTTGGGAGGAGGGGACAGTGAGGGCCTGTGTTCCTGCTGGGTATCTCTGTGCTTCAGTGGGATGGGAGACCTTGTTCCTCCCCTGGGAGCGGTTCCAACAGTCCAGTTCCCCTTGGGAGCCCTTGGACACCTGAGGAGCTGGTGTGACTGTGCTTGCTGGGGCAGCACAGGAGCTGCAGGGAGCAGAGCTGGGAGCAGGTTTAAACCTAAAGCCTGGCCTTGCACAGAGAGGGTCTGGGATAGCATTAGAACCAGTTTGGCATCGGGACCAGCCTGGGTTCTGTCCGTGAGTGCTCCCTGTGTGGCTGATGAATCCCACCTGGGCGATGGATCGCTGCCGGCCAGGCGGAGCTGGGAGCTGGCTGTGGGCCAGCTCCTGCATGACACAGCATGAAATGGTGTGTCAGGGCCTGGCAGCCACTGCTCGGGGCTAAAGGTTGGGACTGCATGGACATTGAGGCTTTGGCAGGCTTGGTTTTGGCAAATCCTGCTCCTGCTGTGCCCTGCCTGCTCCCACCAGGGCACAGCAGGATCCCTTAGGGAGGGTGCAAGGACTTTTATCAGTGTCCAGTTGAAACAATTGGACTGAAGCTTCCTGGAAGCTTAAATCAAACAAATTCCTAAAGGGAAAGCTGCCCTTGACCTGATTTTATAGGACTTGGTTAAAAATGTGGAGTTTGTACTGTGCAAGAAGCTGGTGCTCAGCACTTGCCTGGCTGAGCTGCATGGAATGTTTCAGGAATGTGTTGGTATTCCAGGTTCTGAGTCTGGCAGAACACGATCAGCTGTATTCTGAGTGAGTGTTTTGTTTGGGGCAGACATGCAGGACATAACAGCATCCTGGAATGCCCAGAAGTCCCATGAAAACTCCACTGCTCGAGGCACAGTTCTCGAGGAAGCCCGGGCGGAGATGGAGCTGTGATAGAAGCTGTGTGGGAGAGCAGGATGCCAAGTGATGGGGCAATGCCAAACTGGATTCATCATCCCTACTTCTGGCTGGAACTGAGCACCTCCTGTGTCCCCTTTGACCTGTTTCCTGACAAACTGCTCTTCCTAATCCTATTTAAACCTAAAGCCCATGGAATAGCTGATCTGTGATGGGCATTAAGAGCTCTTAGGAACAGTGGCAGTGTTCCACCAAACCTGGTCTGTGCAGGAAAGGTTAATCTGTGGAATTTGAGAGCCTGTGGACAGAGAGGGTGATGTCATTGGCATGGAGGGGGGGAATTCTGGACATGTGTGGCCTGAGTGTAGTAACAACACAAAGTCCCAGCCTTCCCTTGGAAGAGCTTTCAATCCAAGCCCCTTTCCTGAGTCTGCATGTGTTCTTGTGCAGGCACGTGGGAGACCTGGGCAATGTGACTGCCAAGGGAGGAGTGGCCGAGGTGGAGATCCAGGATTCCGTCATTTCCCTCAGCGGCCCTCACTGCATCATCGGCCGCACCATGGTGGTGAGTGTGGGGGGCCTGGTGCTGCTGGAGGGGCACAGGGGGCTCTCTGGGGGCTAATGAGATCTCAGTTTCCTGCTGGCCTTCCAGGGATGTCCCTCTCCCTTTAACTTTGCCCCTTCCAGCTGTGGGTGACTGAAGGAACTGGTCTGTGGAGGGAATTGGCACAGATGCTGTCACTGGAAGGTGTGGAAACAGGCACCTGAGGACACTGGAAGGAAAGTCCAGTTGGGAGTTTTTAGCAGGGATATGGGTTTGACACTGTGCAGTTAGTGTGTGGGGTGAGACCCTGCTGGGAGCAGTGGAATGTGGGGATTGGGATCTGCAGTAACACAAGTTCTCTTTTAGGTCCACGAGAAGCGGGACGACCTGGGCAGAGGGGGGGACAACGAGAGCAAGCTGACGGGGAACGCGGGGCCCCGTCTGGCCTGCGGAGTGATTGGGATCGCCAAGAGCTAAGTGTGGCACCTGCAGTGCTGCTCCATTGCTGCTCTTGCCCTTCCTCGTGCAAGCCCAAGATTTGTCACTAATCTCCTGCTCCTCTGCATCCCGAGCAGCGCTTAAACCGCTGAGACTGACGGCGTTTTGTATGATGTACATGGCAATTAAAGTGTCCCTCATGGAACAGCTCTGTGGTCTCTGCTCACACACCTGCACCATTCCCTGTCGCATCCCTCACTGGAGCAAATCCCTGCTGTGTGCCAGGGAGGATGGGGGCAGTGCTCACATCCCAGACCCTGGCAAAGAGCAGCAGCCCTGGGGGTGTCAGGGCTGCCTCCTGGTGAAGGTGCAGCATTTGTAGATCTCCAGCCTGTGTAATAAATGTTCTGGGCAGATACACCTGGGTCTGGCTGTCTGTAAACAGGGAACACCCCCAAACCTGCACCTGCTGGGAAAAGAAAGGGGGCCTGGGCTCCAGCAGGTGGGTGGTTAAAGTGCATCCACCAAGTTGCTTCCAGGTGCTGTCCCAGGACCAGCCAGGAGTAACCATTGTGTGCCAGTGCCAGCTTCCATCACGTTTTTGGGTGTCCCTCTGAAACATTTCAGAGTCTCTCTTAACAGAGAAAATTAATCATTTTAATGAGGACTTGTATCAGTGTGCCTTTATCTTGTACATAAGAATACTGGTGGGAGTAGCAGGTTGCAGTTCTAGATAACCCCATTCCACTGAGGAATGTTACAAAAGGAACTTGGGAGTAGAGCAGGAATACTGTAAAAATACTTTAAACTTACATTGCCTGCTGGTGCCAGACAATTGTGTGAGTCTTCACCTGCCTGTGCCTCTTCCAGAGGGTCACTGTGAGGTTATTCCACAGGCACTGCTGCAGAAGGCAGTAAGGAATTGCTCCACAGGTTTCCTAGGCTCTGCTTTCAGCTCCCTACTGAGGGAAAGGGAGAGAAGGTGAGGTGGGGTTTGTGTGAACAGAGCAGCCTCTGCCCCTTTCATTCTTGTCTCCAGCTCTTCAACGCAGTGAGACAAACCCTCCCTCCTTACAGAGCTGAGGCAGCTTTTTCCAAGGCTCAGACCTCAGTGTCTGGTGTTCTCTGGACACAGGAATGTCCCACAGGCCTGGCAGGAAACAACCAGTGAGGACACGAGTTTTAACACATGGAAGTTGAGTTCATTGCAATGTGTAAACAGATTCTTTCTCTCTTTATTCTGCTATTGCAAGAACATAAAAATAGATATTCTCTCCCCCATCCAGAGCTCCACACTGGCTCTCCCATCCCTCCCTCCCCCAGAGACAATTCCACAGGGCAGCTGAGAAAAAGGACTAAGGAAGCAGCTGCCCTTTCCTTGGGGAAAAACCCAACTTTAAAGGTAGAACACACCTATAGAAAGGAAAAAAAAAATCCATTAAATATGCACAGGATTCAAACACATTTCCTATGGTGCTTCTGGAGGGGCAGGACTTCCCAAACTGTCTGTGCCCAAGGGATTGGCCACCGGGAAACTACCCTCATCCAATCTGACACAACCATGGAAGTGCTATGGAGAGGAGGTGGCAGAACTCCAGGAACACCAGGAAACACCCAGCCCAGAGGCACAGCACCAGGGGGGGCACAACCTACCTCTGGCAGGGTAAGGAGGGGCCGGCGTTCCCACCAGAGTGGCCCTGATCCCAGAGGAAGCAGCAGAATCCTTGTCCCAGCTCCACTTCAAGAACCAGGTTGGCAATTTACAGCAGGTTGTGGTGCCTCTGAGGTCTCACTTTCCAGCAGCATCAGTGGCTGACAGGTAGAAAAGCCCAGCACACACCTTGGAACAGCAGAGCAGATGTGCCTGAAGGTGTCACTTCTTAAAAAAAGGCAAATCAAGGGCAGTAGGAACCACAGAACCAATCGAGGGGGAGGAAATAAAAAATAAAGCAAAGAATGGACTGCATTGCAAACAAACACTAAACAAATAACTCTGCAATTAACATCTCAAAACTAACTTTTACCCAGGGTGGTCAAGTATCTCATTAAAATGCAGCAATCTAAAACTCCAGAGGACTGTTACAAATAAAAACTCGCTTCTGTGAATCGCTACACAATCAGGTGGATTTCCTTTCACAAACAGAACCAAACCAGTCTAATTTAGACTCCAGTACAGCATGAACAGTTCCAACTTTAGGCTGTTGAACACTCCTTTTCCACTTCAGTGCAGCGTAGGAAGAATAGCACACGTTAAAAGTTTGTTACGAAAATAGAGTTTATTAAAAACACATCCCTATTGTTTTTGAGGAGCTTTCACCGTTACCTTTTTCTTAAATTAAAAACAAAATAGAAAGCACTTCTACTTCTGATTCGTAAACTTTTTAAAGTCAAAACTTTAAAAAAGTTACAGCAAAAACGGGTAATATTTAATCATCTCTTCAGTATTTATGTTATGCTGTGGCTATTTTTAAATAGGAGGGGAAGCAATCAAATTGCTGGCGGGGCCCCTGCGCTGGGCAGGGCTGGGGGCGGCAGCAGATTTACAGCACTGTACAACTAAAGCTCGACACTCCGACCCAGGCTCGGCAGGGCCCGGGCTCAGCGCGGAGCCTCCGCCACGGAGCCCGTGTCCTTGTCCGCCTGTTCCAGGGATGAGGTAGCCTCGGGTGCCGACTCTTCCGCAGGTTTCGCACCCGCAGGTTCGGACTCTCCCGCCGCGAGTTCTGAAACAATGTCTGCGTCGGCCGCTTTGCCGCCGTGGGACTCGTGGTTTTTGTCGCCCTCCGCCCTGTCTGTCACCTCCGGCTTTTCCTTGCCGCGGCCTTCTTCCTTGTCTCTGCGCGACTCCCGGTCTCTGGAATCCCTCTCCCTGTCTCGGTGGCCGCTGGAGCGCCTGTTCCTGTCCTCCGAGTCCCTGTGCCTGTCGCGCTCGGGGCTGCGCCGGCCCCAGTCGCGCCGCTCGCGGTTCCCGAGGCGCTCGTGCTCCCGGTCGTCCCCGCGGTTCCCGTAGCGCTCGCGCTCGTTTTCTACCCGGTTCCCAAACGACCTCCTTCCGAACCTCTCCTGGTCTCTGTTGGGGGTGAACGTCTGCCTGTCATTCCTGAACTGGCGCCCGTCCCTGTTCTCCTCGGGTCCGCCCGGGCCCCCGCTGCCCGGGACCCCCCCGGGCCTCACAAAGTGCCCTGGCGGGGGGAAGGGGGTTTTCATTCCGTGGGGGGGAGGCATCCCAAAGCCCCCCGGCCCCGGCGGGGGCCCCCTGTGCATCATGTGGGGGGGCATGTGGCGCGGCGGCATCAGCGGGAAGCGCGGCAGTGGCGGGGGCGGCATTCCCGGCGGCCGCTGGAGCGGGATCAGCCCGGGCCGGGCGCCCAGGAGCCCGGTGGATGGAGTCTGGAGCCCGACCACTGGGGCTGGAGGGGGCGGTGCCACACCCTGGGTGCCTGCAAGGAACACACAAGGGACAGTCAGAGCCTGGCAGCAGGGAACACAAGGCATTTCCATAGCTCAAAAGCCACTGTACAGTTATCCCAGGAAAAGAGTGCACAAGAACTTGGAGCGGAGCTTCCTGCGCGGCCCAGGTGCAAGCACACCTCTGTGTGCTGCTGAAGGGAAGACGTGGCAATGGCAGGAACTCATCCCTGATCCCAAAGGCCTCCTTTGCCCTGCTGCAGGTCAGAGCCCCCCTCAGCCCCAGCTCAGCCTCTCGCCTCCTCTGACTGCAGCCAGAGCCCCTTCCTGGTACAAAATATATGTATTATAATATATAAAAGGAAATGCAACAGGTAATTTCTAGATTCTTTTTTTTTCGAAATACAATCCTTCATTCTTTACAGCACATATCCAACATAGTTTTCTGTTTTAATTCCTGGACTCTTTTGTTTTTAGCACGTTCTTCTCAAGAGGAAAAAAAATTACCCTCTCCAAACATCTTGTTGGAGAAAGCTCAGCCTAAAGCTCGCTGACACCAACAGGAGGAGCCAGAATGGAGGAGGAGGGAGGAATTCTGAGCTCCACCTGAGGCCTTCCCAGGGTGGACAGGAGCCTCCTTGAGGCTGAGGCAGGAACCCACTGTCCCATGAGCCCTCACACTGCACCTTCCTGCTCCATGTGCTCCTGCCCTGCAAACACAGTCCCTGCCTGGGGTGTGTGGTGTTCCTGTATCAATCTGTTGGGACTGTAATGTTTTCACATACATGAATAAAAATGAAAGTTAAAAACAGATGTTACGCCAACTTTTGTAGCCCCTGCCTTGGTAGAACCAGAATGTGGAATAGCTGTGGAAAGTAATGCTGGAATTAGAGAATTGGCTTTGCCAGCAGTGAAAACTGCACTTTCCCCCCTTCCTTTTTAACTCTAAAATGCAGAGCCCTCCCTCCTCCCATTTATCACCAGGTCTGTAATCACTGAGCTGAAACTCCTCCCATGACAGAACTGTGGATCTGACAAGCCAAGACACGGGGCTAATGATGTCTCCCAGGAATTCTGAGGTTTGGGGATGTTCTTGTTGAAAAAAAACCATCTTTTGATCTGCCACAGAAGATTAAAAATAAGGCAGAACAGAATAACTGAGAACTACTGAGCTGAAGAGGACAAGCCAATGCTTCTGCTTAGAAGCAGCAGAGCAGACATGGGCTACAACAGCATGAACATGAGGCAAGAGAGAAAAGTTTCACATTTAATAAGTACAAGTAACTTAATTTCTCCACAAACTGCAGCACTGAAGAAGCATAATGGTACCTGGAACTCCCCCTCTTTCACTCTGAACACTCTTTGAATATCAGCCCCCTTCAATGTCAAGGCTAAAGCAGCTGCAGAAGCACAACCAGAGTTTCCTCACCAATTAAAAACTTGCAGAGCTGTCCAGAAACACACCCTTGTTTACTGAAAATGCTCAGGAAAATTCATGGTACAGACGCACGTGGTGACAGGTCTGAGAAGATTTAAAGCCCTTTGTTGTGTCATGCAGAGAAAGGCAGTAAATAACATTGGTTTCCCACACTGGGTAAGAACTCCTTGAGCCCTGAGAGAGACCCTGAGGTGATTTACTGACCAGCTTCTCATAGTCAAGACAGAAACCTCATCCCTTTTACCTGCTCTTCTGTGTTGTTTTGGATGTGTAAAACCACACACTGCCTTCACAACTCATGTTATTTAGAACTGTCACTGGTGCTGCCCAGTTACAGGCCCTCAGACCTTGCACTGTGTTTGCTCAGGAGGGGGCAGGACTGAGGTAGGAAAACCCATCCCAAACCAGAGGGTGGTTGCAGAGTCACAGCTGAAATAACTCACCATTGATCCCAACACTTTGTAACAGCCACACTCAGAGGGGTTCAGAGAATGTTGTATCTGTTTTATGATTTAATGCAGATTACAAAAATCACTTGAGAACAAGCCAGCAAGGGAGCAAAGACTTAATGACTGAGCTTGCACTACCAGGAAGTGAATGCCAAGTTCGGTGGGAACTCCAGGATAACTAAGCTTTGATTACATGTCATTATCCTGGTAGGAATTTGGGTAAAAAGACCCTACAAACTGCAATAGGTTGTATTTCACCCAGATCACAGAATCTGAATATTCCAAACACTGCATCTGCAGTTTGTTGCTGGCCCAAGTTAAAACATTTGCTCTGCACTAAGAACACGTTGTCCACCCCAAAAGGATTTAAAAGCTGTTGTTTCCTGCAACAGGCACATGTAAAAGGAGCCTAAAAATACCTGCTCTGCAGGTCATTGAAAATTCCCTGAGTGCTCATTCCCTGAGCCATCACAGCCTGGAGTGTGTTGTTCTGATGAACAACAGGGAGGTGTAACAGCAGCGAGTGTGATCAAGGACAAACTAAATTACAACCTGAGGGTGCTTTTTAGAGAAAGGCACAAAAAATCCAGACCCAATGTCCACAAGGGATCACTCCCCTGAAGCACAACCATGTCCTTGCTGGAAGTGATGAAGGAATTACATTGGAGGCACAAAGGAAATCAGTGGAGATGAGACAGAACTTATAAGAGAAACTGTATGAAATGTTAATCCATTTAGAATTAATTTGTAACATGTCTTCCATATAAAAACTGAACAGAAAGAAGCTTCATTCTGGAGTTACAGAAGTTATTAAAGAGCTCCTGTGTGTTGTACAGGTTACAGAAGGTGATCCCAAGCAAGGAGAAGTTTAGATCTCTCTGACAGTCTCTTCCCAGCCACCTCCATCCCTTGAGTTTGGCCTGCTGCAGGTCATCCACGCATCCATTCAGTGCAGGAGTGAATCAAAGTGCTTTTAAGGAGAGTTTAATTTGTGCCAACTTACTGAGTGGTTTGAAAAAGCCAAGATAGCTGATATTAATCTTTTATCTTAAATCACATCACATTATAATGTTTCTTCTGGTTTCCTTGTATCTTGTATCAGACTGTGAGCAGTCCCCACAACTCCAGAACGTTGGGACAGAAGGGTTTTATGTAACCCCTTGATTATAAATAACTTCTTGAAATAAGACACCCATCAACATCCAGTGCTACTGCTTAAGCAAACGCACAGATCTCAGCCACTACTCCAGCACTGCTCTGTGAGCTCAGAAAACCTGAGCCTGAACCTTGAGAGAAGTCACACTGATCACATGCACTTCACTTGCCTCAACCACTCAGAGAACAAGTTCACAAAAAAAAAAAAAAAAAAGGCAAGTTCTTGACTTCCAGATTTCTCAAATTCAGCTTCCTGGGATTTGTAAGAATAAAAAGCAGCTGCTGCCCAAGGAACTGATGTGGGTGTCTAATTTAATTCAACCTTCAGGTTGTATGTGCAGCGCTACAGCAAAGGGCAGAGAAACTTCATACATTCCACAGGCTTGGAATAAGAAATTCAGGTTCTGCTGTACAAGACACAGTCCCATAAAACTCCAAAATTCTGGTAGTGCTGTGCTGCCATCACAAAAAGTGCAATTCACCATGAAGGTGCGAGTTTCTGTGTACATTGTAAAGTTCTGAGCAGAAACCCACTGACACAAAATTAACTTTTTCATTCATTTGTTAAGCTGTCACTTAGAGGTCTGAAATCCCATAAATGCAATAATCTCACTAAAATACATAGGTAACAAGTCTTCTGAGGCAGTTCTTGACACTGGCCCAGCAAAGGCCATCCTAAAGTAAACATTTAGCAGAGCTCTGTACCATTAAACAGTTCACACTCCCTTTCAAAATCTGACCAGGTTTATACCATATTGGGAAAAGTAATTTATGCAACATACCCAAGCTACCTCGGTTTTGTAGTCAAAATACCATTTGGCAATTTAATAATATATTCCTACAAAGGTTTCCAAACCTGTAATATTGCAGGGCTGAATAAAAGCTTTTGGCTTTCTGTTTTATTAAAACAATTTATTTCATATATAAAAAGTATGTGCCACATCCTCACAGATTTAAAAAAATACACTAAAAATAGTTAATAAGTTAATTTTATACATGTAATAGTTGAGTCTAAAACCTGGTTCATATGTCAGATGTGTTGTTTAAAGTTCATTTTCTATCCTATATAAACATCCACTTGCTAAAAGTAGACAGCATTTTAATTTGTAACTTAAACATTACAGCTTTGTTTCTTCAGAAAATATCTTCAATAAAAAATGAAACTGCTTCTTCTGTGCAAAAATCAAGCCTCTAAAAGTGATTTCTAAGCCAACAGAAGGGCAGAAGTTTCAAGAAGTTGAGAAAAACGTGCTTCCTTTCCCCTGGAGTCTAAGTCAGCAGCAAAATCAAAATGGTATTTTAAATTCAGGGAACAACGAAGTGCAGAACTTACACAAGAGAACACTTACCAAGGAGTGGGACAGTCTGGGTGACAGGAGCAGGGACATTAGTAGGAGCTACAGGAGGTGGAACAGTCCCATAGATTTTGGAACTATCGGTGGTTTCAGCATTCCCTCTGCCTCCAGAAACTACTGGGATGGGATTTCCTACAGACGACTCCTTTGTAGTGTCCTCACTCCCACCCGTTGCTGTAGCTGAGGAACAAGGCATGGACACATTAACCACCAGCAGCAATTCCTGCTGCACGAGCTCTGCCTCCCACAGGGCTCCAACACTTACAGTTTGGGATGTTCACTGCCGGAGTGTGCGGGACAGAGACCGGAGGGGTTATAGGTGGTGGCGGCCCCGGAGGAAGGAAGCCTACAAAATACAGATGCCCCTGAGTGCCCCTTTGGCACAACACCCCAGTGCAGCTGGGTCTCTGTGCTCTGGGGCCAGCAGAGCACAGGATGAATGAAGCACCCCCCACGTACCTGGGGGTAAATGCAGAGGGTTGAATCCAGGCCGTAAGAACGGGGGCGGCGGCGGGGGCGGCACCCCGGGAGCAAATCCAGGAGGGGGGATTCCTAAAGGGGCTGTGAAAGCAGGTGGTTGGAGTGCACCAACCACAGGAGGCCCCGAGGGATGTGGTGGAACCTAAGGAAAAAGGAAGGGGAAAAACGTGTTACCCCAAGACTGACCGGGTGACTCCTTGTCCCACTGGGATCTCTGCTTTGCCCAGCACAACAGGAACATTTAAACAACCTAAAATTGCTCTGCAGCAAGTGGGGCTTGTGTAAGAGACCTAATTAGCACTCAAAGAACTCCTGCCACTCACAAGATCAACACCAATCTTGTTTGCCTTTATAATTAGAGAAAAATTCTTCTCTGTGGTAAATGGGTTTTAATGTATGTTGGTGGCTCACCTCCACACACCTTTCACACAGCGGCTGGGATTCATTTCCATCCAGGAGGATCCAATGCAATGCACATGACTTTGGAGCAACTAAAAACCTTTGCTTGTTTCCTTCTTACTACCCGAGTTTATACACTATAATATAGTGATTTTTTCCTTTTTTTTCTCTTTAATTCTGATTTATATCAAGCTCTGAATTTAAATTAGCTCTGATTTAAATTAAGTTGGTCCTTAGTCTCATATTTATGAGCTTATTACAGAAACTACACTAAATGTGTGGGAATCAAAAGGAAAAAATCCAATCAAAAACATGCTCTGCACTTAGAATGGATTTAATAAAGCAAAGAAGAGCTGTGTGCCCAAGTGACCACAACTGACCACCTCCACGACCAGCAACATTTCAGAACACCAAGACCCCTCATAACTTTTTACTTCTAGAGGAAAGAAGGAAAAGCTTTTGCTGTTTTATTCTCAGGACTGAAAGAACCTGCTTCAGGTTCCTTACCAGCTTTACTCAGCCCAGGCACACTAAACCTGTGCTACTACAGTTTGATAATCAAAATGATGATATTAGAAATAGCAAATCTGGGGAGGGATGCAGCAAACTGGGATCAACAAGGAAAAAATAACTAGAGGGAAAACTGTTTACTAAGGAGGAGACTGGAATGGAGAAAGAGAGGAGAAAGCACAAGAGAAGGGAAGGTCTGGAAGTGAGAAAAGAATCAGTCGTGGGAATCCTGCAGCAGAATCTCATTCTTGACACTTCCTTTTTCAGCATGGATTTAAGGAAAATAAGCAAAATCACTGCTATTTAATACAGTTAATGGCTACTAAACTTTCTGAAATTATAAGTTTGACTTACTGTTCATTTACTAAATAACAGTTTATAGCACATCAAGAATCGTGTGTCAAAACAACCCATAATTCAACATATTATGTTCTCAAATCCCATAACTGGCTAAATTACACATGTCTTCAAATCATTTGAGTTCTTGATCTTCTGTGAGTGCTTGCCACATTGTAGTTCATAAATCACACTTTCTCAAGATGTAAGACAGTTTTATTCATACTCCCTCTCATCTGGGAGAAGGGATACTACTATTTTAAAAGCAATGAGAAACTACTGATATTAAAGTAACAGTGTATATCTATCAATAGAAAAGCTTTTTCTTAGGGGAAAATTATTAGGAAAACAAACAAAAAAAAGCCAGTCACCAAACTGAAGATGCAATTCAGCCCATCAATAAGAAAAACTCTACTCCAGTAATTTCTCTGTGACTGAGAGAACAGAGTTACCATTCATGGCATCTCCTCCCTGAATTATTATTTAAAGTAAGTTTTTGTTTCTTTATCCCAAGTAAACGAGGAACAACTCTCACCTGTGGAGGAGGTACTGTTATTGGTGCAGGCATGGGGACAGGGATAGGGACAGGTAAAGCTTTGGGTATAGGTGACACTGGTTCATTGTGTGCAGCTTCTGCGCCTCCGTTCTGAGCTACTTCATTTTCAGACTTCTTGGGGATCCCCTTCCACTCTGTACAACACAAAATCCCAACAGACAAGGATCAGCTCAGAGGGAGCAGTGAGGTGAAACGTGTTTGCTGATGTTTATAAAAGGACCTAATAGAAAATACTCAGATAAAAAGCATTCATACATATTTCTGACAATAATAAAAAGAAATAATTAAAAAAATTGGACAGAATGACCCAACCCTGAAATTAAGCTTCACTAACTGCACACAACTGAACATGCAGCACTGCTGTACCTGGACTAAGAGTTTCATTGTCCAGCATTCCCCCTTCACAGAAGCTTTCAAGATCTTCAGGTTTGACTTTGTCCCACGGTATGTAAGTCACACCTAATTCCACATCCCAGTACTGCTTGTAGTCTGGCTTTATTCCTTTATTCAGAGCCCATGCAATCTTGGAGGGGGGGAAAATACATGTAAGTCAGGCAAATGCTTCCATTTTAATGCATTTCATATTTCCTTCTCACAAAACAGCACTACCATTTGGGGCTAAGAAGCAAAGATAGTAACTAAAACAGTTACAACCCTCTGAAGTAAGTTGGTTTTTTTTTAAAGCAGACTTAGTTCTTTTTCCTTGGCTTGAATCTTGCTCACTATTTGTAAAAATGTATAAAGCCAGTTTCTTCCCATATTCCCAAGCCACTAAGATTAATTCCAGTTCCCTTTGGAGGACTCTAATATGATGTTCTACAGAAGGAAGAACTTCACTAATTTAATGCATCCTTCCTTATTTATTAGTATCTTTGTAGGATTATCGTATGTAATGAAACTCTTATGAGACAAATATCCAACAGTGAGAAAACACACTTCCAGTTCCCTGCAATGGCTAAAAGGGCACCATTTTTATTGATCAAATAGACAATTACTGGCAATCTTTTGAGGAAACTGATACAAGTTCCACTAACTCCATTACAGACCAGGAAGAATAATTCTCAAGAAGTGGCCCATCCCCATAAATTTACAGAACACATAAGAGTCTCAAATACCCAAAAGCCCACCACAGATGAGAAAGGATGACAGTAATTCCAGCAGCTTTAGAAACCCTGACATTTTCCAAGCAGTACCTTGATGGATTTCTGGTTGACCTTGAAGTTCCCTCGGCTCAGTTTCTGGAGGGCTCTGTTGGCATCTTGTCTGTGCACCATGACAATGTAGGCACATCCTCTGGGGGGGATCATCTGGTTGGGGTTTAAGGAACAAAATTGGTTTTGCAAATAAAATAGCAGTGAACACACAAGTGTTCAGTTACAGCAAGCTGGGACATCAGAGGGTGTTCCAAAAGGGGCTCTGGAAGTATGGAAGGGAATGTAATTTAAGAGGCCAAGAAAGCCACTATCTTCAGTAAGTACACATTTCTAATACACTAAAACTTCCACAACTTCTGATGTGGAAAGCTTTAAACTCTAAAATATGGCTGACTCTTGTAATATTTAATCTTTTCAAACTGCTAAACACGTAAATGCTGTGGGGTCTGGCAATTAATTACCTCGTTGGAAGACACATCAATCCCCCCCCTTCATTCCATATACCATGAGCTGGCAGCTGCACCTCCACACTCGGGTCTATCTGCAGCTTTGGAATAATTTTTATTATTTATAGTGAATTTGAGAAAAATCTCCTATGTTGTTTTACAAAATTTGGAGTAGGAAGAAAATTGCAGTCACTTCTTTTTGTTTGTTTCAATGAAATTTTAACAGCTATTATTTATATATTTATATGTATGTACTTATATATTTATACATATAAAATATCCTTAAATACAGCTAAACAAAACAACAGTTCTGTGTTTATGGCTAAAATAACACCAGCTGAGGGTCCACATTTCTGTACTCAAGCAAAATGGAGCAGATGAACTCAGGAGCACAGGATGTAATTCTGCAGGCATCTAGCTCTTCCTCATTCTCCAGAGAAGGCAAGATTTTTATGAAAATGGGATAATCTTCTCTGTTTTATTTGCATTTTTAAATTGCAAGAACCCAAAGCAACTCCGTTCTTTGGCAACAACTCAGCCAAACTAATTTGAGTCTACACATTAAAAAGCACAACATGCAGGAAATGAGAGCTCAACTCTTTGGAATTTATAAAAATAAAGCTGTCTTAGAGCAGCCAGGAAACACTTTTTGTAACCAAGCCTATCAAAGTAGCTCACACTGCAGCATTTATTACTCACATTGATCGACTCAATGGGGCCAAACTCTTCCAAAAGACTTCCAACATCCTGCTGAGTTGTCCTCTTGTCAAGCTGTCCTACCCAAAGTGTGGTACTACAAACTGCAACAAAGAGTTAACTCAGGTTGGGAGAGCCATTATCGACACAAGCTCCTCTTACAGGACAGAGTAAGTCCCACATTTATCTCACTTCATGCTGAATTCAGGGTAATAAACCAGCAACTGAGCTCAAAGTATCACACTGGCTGCACTTTAGCACAGCAACATTTAATACTCAGCCACGTTTCGCCCAGTAAGTGATACAAAACTGCAAACTGTGACAGCACGAAGTGACAATCTGGGAGAGGTGCTGGCAGAGGCACATCTCACACCACTGCCAGGGAGCTTTCAGTGAACAGCTGCCAAGGCCCTGCAGTCCTTTTACACTCCTGGAATTGTCACTCACCAGCTTTTGGCTTGTTAAAACTCTTCAAGTTTGTGTGTCTCTTACATAAGAGAATGCTTTCATTTTACTTGCTGACCCCAGAGAAGATTCCACATTCCAAAGGAATATTCAGAAGACAACTACTATGTTTGGTCTGTAAACACAGGCAAAGCCAAGATTACTTCAGATTATTTCAGCCTGTGTTTTCCAGGTCAAAGCCCCCCTCCAGGTCTGAGAGGCACACAACACTGAATAATTAGAAAAATTGCAATAATTTACAACTAACTCAACTTGTTATTTAATCTGCTTTAGCTTGCAGGTCTCAAAGGAAGGAAAATAAAAACACGGGGCTTCAACTTTTTCTTCTCATTTATAGCCAAAGTATTTCCAACTTGGAGATATTCCAGAAATGCCAAACTGTCTACTATGAGTAAAGGAAGTGCAGGGATGTGAATTTAAGTCTACCAGCTTTACAGCTCAGAAAACAAGTCACAGTGCAGTTTACTTTTTTTCTGTCTGGATGAACCTTGGAGAGGAACACAACAATTTAAAGAATACCACTCCAAAAAGTGGTAGTGCTGGTATTGGCAAAGTTGGCATCCACAATGAAAGGAAGAATGAGCTTACCACTGACAGTTTCTGACTTGATCTGGGGGAGGCCCTTGGACCTGCGCTCCCTCTCCCGCTCCCGTTCCCGCCTTTCCTGCGAGCGCGACTTCGGGGAGTGTCGGCGCCGGTCCCGGGAGCGCGACCTGGAGCGCCGGTGACGGGAGCGCCGGGACCGGGAGCCAGACCTGGAGCGTTTCCTCTTGGGGGACCTGGTGTGAACCAAAGCCACGTGTGTCACAACGGTGAGCAAAATGTTTATGGCTTCTACAAAAAAAAAAAGGCTAAAAAAGAGATTTCCAGGGAATTCTGCCACTGAAATGGGAGTTTATTGACAGGCTTGAAGTTACTCTCTCCCAGTAAGAGAACTGCACAGATACCCAACTCCCCTCAGAGGGGAGATGACTTCCAGGGGTTCATAATTCTTAAAGAGTCACTAATCCCACTCTCATTCCTGCACTAAAAGAGCTTTCACTGATTTACCTTGATGCAGATCTAGATCTCGACTTCCTGCTGTCAGAAACATGCCGTTTGCCCTCCTGAACAGGTGGCTGCTCCACTTCCATATCCTAAAATATGAAGTTGACTGGTGTTATGGGTGAGCAGCACAAGTATTTTATTTCTTTTTATGCCAAGACTAAATTATGTAACAGTACTAAAATTACACTGAATATTCAAATGTGTGAAATTAAAGAGTAACGTGGCTCTCCCTCAGAAGCCTCACCTCTGCTCTGTGTCACTGACAGGGAGAGGGTCCAGTATTAGCTGTACTTAACACAACCACTGAAAACACAGCATAGAAATAATCTGAACAACTCTTGTTTTCAATTTGCATATTATCTTTTTTCCATATTTCAGTCCATCTCCACAGAATATGATTATTCTCCTTAAAATCAGTCAGTGGATCCTGCTGTGTCAAAGTTACAGGCAAAGTGAGGTTTACTACAGCTCTTCTCCAAGACATTACTAGAAACTACTTTAAGCCCTGTATGTAAGCACATTGCAACAAATTTGAAAAATGAAGCAGAAAGTCAAAGCAATACATAAAATGCAAGAACTTGCTTAAAAAAAAAATTAATTCCAACACAGCTCTTCCTTCCTACCCCAAATCTTCCACAGCTTCCCATTCCAGAACATAACTGCATCCTGCCTAGACTTTAAGTTTTAATTTAAATTTTAAAATAAATTTAAGTTTTCATTATATGACCCCAGCAGGGAACACCAAAAAAGCCCTCTCTCAAAATGTACTGATTCAACAGAATTCTAGACTAAAAAAACTAATTAGAAAGACACTCTTGAGAATTCTCCTTTTATTCCAAGTCAAAGCAAGAACTGATTTCTACAATCTGTGATGTCACAGCTTGGTACCATCTCTATTTCTCAGTTCAGGATTTCCTTTTCTTGGAACAAAAGAGGCAAATAAACTTTTTTAAATATATATATACACACACATATATAGGCTCATGAATAGACCTGCTCTTTGATTTCTTCTTAATAGCAGCCAGTTATTGAACCTACAGTGTCCTGAAAACCCTTAGGAACCAAAGCATTTACTTGGATTTTCTTAAGTTGTTACAGATTTTGAGTCCATTTCCACTACATTCACGTTCTACCAGGCCCTTAAAAATTAACTTTTCCAGACGGTTTCTTCATACAAGAAGACTGCATTGTCAGAATTCCATGGCACAAAATATTCCTGAAATATGATGGAGACAGGAAAGGGAAGATAAGGAAGCAGAAAGCACACACATGCTGGTTTTGCCAGACTTGTCCTGGAGCCCCCCAGCTTAATCCAACCATGTCCCAACGGAGCCACCCTCACAGCCAGCTCTTGTCCTGGATATCCTGACACTTCTGCTCCTGCACAATCCATGTACATTTGAAAAAAACACATGTCTGAGAGCATTTAAGTTACTTTGTTTATTGCAAAGGCTCCTCACCTGTTGATGGGGTTTCTGCATGTGTGACTCAGTCTGGACTGGAAAGGGAGACTGGAAAGTTGGCTGCACAGGTGCTGCTGGTGGAATCACAGGCTGAGCCATGGGTGGGAACTGGGGGGTAGGCAGGAGACCAAAACCTGGCATTTGCCCATTAGGAGGAAGTGGGACCTTTAGAGAATAAAAAAAAAAAAAAAATCCAGCTAGGAAAAGAAATTGCATTGGCTGTCCCAGTTTGCTCAAGTTAAGTTGTATCTGTGCTCCAAAGTCACAATAAAAGATGGGGGAAAGATGAAGTAGGTCAAGCATTTAGATGTAGAAAACAATCTTGTTCTTCAAAGCCTGACTGGGACAGAGAACAAAGATATGTTTCTTTAGAAAAATTGAGGGCTAAGCCACATTCACTCTTCACAATAGTAAAACCACTTCCTTATTTCTCCACCAAAGAAAACAAGCAAAAGACAGAAAACACCAGAGAGGGACGAGGGAGAACCTGAAGTTACCTGGTGACGCATTGGATCCTGCTGTATTCCCATCATCCGCTGCTGGAAAGGATCCATATTTGGGAGCTGAGGAAATACTGGCTGTTGCATGCCTTCTGCTGGAAACCCACTGAAACCAGGAATATGTTAGTGAGACAAGTCAGTACATACACAGATCTCTTTATTTTCCAGATTTCTATACACATTTACACAGCCTCGCTGTAATTTTAAACGGAATGAGTATCTCTACTATGATCCCATTTCCAACAAAAAAAAAAAAAGAAGAAAGAGTGGCTTCCTTATCTTTTTTCCACTCTAAGAGTGGTCCTTTATCACTAAAAGCAACGCTACACAAAGGTTAGAGCCTCCCTCTCCCCCCTGACTTACAAAGATCTCAGCCTATGGAAATGTTTCAGGAAGGTTGTCTGCCTTAGGCTAAACTTCTTCCTCTCCAGTTCCTCCTCTGGGAACAAAAGAAGCAACCTTTTTCCTCAAGGAAAATAAACTGGCCGTACTTTTGCTGTTAACAACCACCTTGGTTTGGGAGGAAATAAGGCAGAGGAGCACAGGATGTGTATCACAGCAGGATTACAGCGATGCCAATCCCTTCCTGATTCAACACACAGCATGGACAGTGCTCAGGGAACTCAGGAGGGCTCTGCAGGTAACAGGACCTGCCTGCAGGAAACTGAACCGGATTTCAGGAGGATACAGGAATTTCACGGTGATGGGAAATAGAGCTTTGCACTGTTTGAAGACACAGGTGCCACAAAATTCTGCAGAAGTTCTGGACAGATCGGTTTTTCATAGAGAAAATGACTGAGTTTGTGTGCCCATACTGGGAATACTGGAATTCCACCTTCAGGGACATCTTGCACAAGTGTCAGGTGCTAAAGACAGAGGCTCTGAAGTGCTGCCAACACAACATAAACATGCCCAAAAGCCTCTGGCTGGGCAGGCACAAGCAGTGCTTATGTGTGACCTACCCCATCTCTCTGAACTCCAGAGTTCACCTGTACTCTAGGGAAAATACCACCAATTTCCTTCAAAGGCATTTTAATTAACTAGTACTTGTGAAACATAAAAGTGCTGGAGGTGAGAGACACAGTAAGAAAGCTGATGAGAGTGTTAGTGGTTCTGGTTTTGAGAGCAGGGTTTGGATGCAGATACAGAAAGTAAGACATGGGGCCACGGACTGAAGCAGGGGAAAAAAGAAATATGGACTAACCCCGGCATTGAGCACCATCCAGCCTGTGCACTGAATGAGAGAGGGGTCCTGTGGAGAAAACTGGGATGTGGTCATGGCATTCCAGACTTTATCATAACGCACAGCAAAAGGGAAACAGGACTCTGAGCTCGTTTGTGGGGGGACTGAACGTTCGAGAACCTTAAGCCAATCTTCATTTCTTAAGTAGTTAAAACCATCAAAATGTTTGGAATAGTATCTTTTCCCCAGCCAGCAAAGCAATCCAGCCGATCACTAACCATGCCCTGACACACTCAGTTGGGCAATAAACACATCTTGAAATCCAAGCTAAGCTTTTCTCTACAGAACACAGTCCTCAATCAGTGATGTTACATAAACCCACACCACATCACCAAAGTGAAGAGCCATAAAAAACACCCCGCCAAAAATTGCTAACAGAAATTGTTAACAATGTTTTAAATTTGGGCTGTTACAGTTAAGCACTGAAGTAACTTCGAATTTTAATCCACTTTCTAACCTAAAAATCTTTTAGAACAAAGATTTCTTAGTTTTGTTATGACACACAACTTACAAAGCCGGCTGAGACACTGAAGGGGAAGGAGCTGAATCTTCTTTCTTTGCATCTTCCACTGCTTCTGGTTCATCATCATAGTCAAACCGATCTAGAAGTTTCTGAAAGAAATCACATTGTGCCCACTATTTTTTCTGCATCTTACAGAATTGGCAGCCAAAATATCTTTATTATCACAGTTTTACTACATATTTAACAGCTATGGAATTCAAGACAAGGTTAGAATGGGGGAAAAATAAAAACCTATGTTCTAACACAGAATAAAAACTGTCCAAAACTAGTTTTCTTCAGCTTCAGAAAATGTACAGGCCATAAAAGCAGGAAGCCAACCTCCAAATGGAAAAAGAGAAGAAACAAAATTAGAAACTAACAGAGGACACTGAGGTACCATCCCAACAGTTGTGTTCTGGGGAGGTTCACCACAGAACAAACCAAGGCTTACTTTATCAAACGATGTTTTCTGCTCAGGTGCTGGGAAAGAAGCTTTTTGCTCTGGTGCCTGAGCTGCTGTGGTTTTCAGCTGAGCAGTAATAGCTTGAACCTGAGCCATCACAGTGTTGTCTATGACCGGTGACTGGGGCTTCTGAGGCTGCTGGAAAGTCTGCAGGATTTGCTGAAGCTACAAAAACACAAGGTAGTATTAAGAATATGTTCTTATATAAACACAAAGCATCAAAAGAGTTGTAGGATATAACTTTTATGTCAAACCAGACTATGGCACAGGATGAATATCAACAACTTGGCTGAACTAGGGAGAACTCTCAGCAAGACCAAGAGTCACTTTTTAAATACTTCAGTGGCAAAATTCAGCAGATCCCAACATTGTAGGACTCAGGCCCTTCAGCACTGCTTAGTGGACTGAACAACAGAACTCCACATTTTCTTTCTTATATTCCACCTGTCCTGGAAACTTTGTAACTGCATCAATTCACAACTAATAATTTAGGAATATTTAACTGCATTTTCCCCAAATACCACAATTACTGGATGGAAGGGTCACAGATAATTCAAGTACTCTTTGACTCCATCAAAGACCTTAAGGAGGCTCTTTGCTTTGCTTCAAATGGGGGATATTAACTCCATCATTTTCTCCCCTCGTTTCACATAAAAGCTGGAGTTAGAAGGGAACCAACAAGCAGGTTACCTGCTGTCCTTGTGTTGTCTGGAACAGCTGAGCTACAGCTGCGAAGGCATCGGAGCTGGGCAGCTGTGGCACGGTGGGCACTGAGTTCGCAGTCACCTGAGGGGGCTCCGAGGGGACCTTTGCCGGAGGGGGCGGCGAACCTGAGGGATCCACAGGAGCAGAGGAAGGGCTGTGTCACTCCAGAACACTCAGCCTGCTCTTCACCTGCCTCCTCAAAACAAGGGCCTGGCCACAAGCCCCTCTTTAACCCAAAATTCCTTATTTACACCACCCCAACTGCACATTGCGTTTGTTTTGCCATGAACTGCCCCAGCCACTGCCCACACCTGCAGGCTGCATGCACCAGGAAAGAAAAAAGGCCCATCTGGAAGCTGCTCCCACATGGAATTTTAGAGCACGGCTCCCCGTTTGTAAGTGTCCAAGTTAAGAACAGCTCTGACTCCAACAGCATGAGGCAATGAGCATCACTGTGTGATGGTTCTGGGCTCATCCTTTTGGAGTATTTCAAATGAACCAGCTCATGGCTCATCTGAAGAGCAACTGAGTTCCTCTTAACATTTTCTATTTTCTAGCAGGAACCGAACTTTTTCTGAGAATTCTGGTAATAATTAGAGGTTATTTCACAGGCAGCTCGTTTTCTTTGGTAAGGTCTGTTCACGTGCCCCTTTTGCACAGGCACAAGCCACACCTGCAGCTGATGGATAAATCCTCCCACCAGAAAAATTACTTTTACTCATTCTTCCAGGAAAAGACTCCCATTTCCAGGAGCTTTACTGAAATTGAGATCACACTTTAGGACACGCTGACAGCTTTGGCTACATATGCAGCTTTCTCCTTCTCTTTGCTTTACATTAAAATGCCTTTTTTAATAAACATTTTGCCAGTACAAGGTAAATTAGCAATAATATCATCAATTCCTCCACACTGTGAGCAAGTCACTATTCATTAGCAAATTTGTTTTAATGGACATAATAGAGCTGTACAAGGAGTGACAGTTTAAGAAACTTCACAGAGAAAAATATTTAGTTTGAAATACTAAGCAAACATGTTTGCCTTGCAATACCATCTCCTTTAAAGCCATTCCTCTGTTTGTACTTCAAATAACTCCAGTGTTGACAAGCAGCAAGCAGAGACAAACGTGTTTAATATTTTCCCAGAAGTGAAATGCAATATAAAAATACTGCAAAAAGGTATGTGGTTGTTCTTAAGCATGAAGTAACTCCTCAATTATTTCCTGTATATATTCAGAAGGATATTTTCTTGCTCAAGGGAGAAAATTTGCATTTTTCTCTCTATGGGCTAAACAGATTGTATCTCACATAACGCATTAATATATTTATTATTATTCATTAGCATATTTATTTCAGGGCCAAATTATCCCCTCTGGTGCATGTGAATAATCTCACTGAAAATCTCTGCAGAAGGCAGCCAACCTGTTTGCCACCAGTGAGGAGACACAGCTGGAAGGGCAGTGCCTGTCCCAGCAGAATGGAACTGCACGGCCACCACATTTCATGGGATACACTTCCCTGAACACAGCTGGAGAGGCTCCCACTTGTGCTGCTGTGCATCACTGTTTTGTTGTCTGTCACCACCCCTCCCTCACTCCATTCCACTTTTCCCAGTCCTACTCCAAGGTACACAGTGAACAAGGAGGTTACCAGAGCTCAGCGTGAAACACGGAGTGCAGAGCCAAAAAACAGGCCCTCTGGAGAAAGAGGGAACTGTGGAATGTGTATTCTCCTCCACTGCTCCATAACCTCACTGCCAGCTTTTCATGGGGCACAAAATAGGTCAGTGCAGCACTGTGGGCAGGCCCTCCCTGCTCTGCTCTGTGGGTCAGTGCTTTCCAGCCCGTGCAAAGGCCCCAACAGAACTGCACTGTTTGAGAACCTGGATGTGAAACACCAGTTAAAGTGTCCCGGGGCTCATACTGAGACACCAACAGCTGCTGCTTTCAGGTACTAAACTGATCCAAAGAAAGACAAAGCTCTTAACATGTAAGATCCCACTTTACTCATCTGGACTCTAACATTAAAAAATTACATCAGAATTGGAAAACTGAGATAAAACAGACAAATATTTCAAAGCAAAAGAAAAAGTACTTGTTTAAGAGGGGACATAGAAGTCATCTGTAAGTGTCCACATATGTATGTGCACATGCATATTTTGTGATACACATTTCAGGTACTTTCCAATTAAGTGCTCACCAAGTACAGTGTCAGCATTTATTCAAAATAAGTTCAGCTGCTCCACTTAATTGTGACAACAAAGGTAAGTTTATGGACATGTTGCTGTTGGAACTAAGAGCAGGTGCTTTCCTGTGAAAGCAAACAAGCTATTGCCATTTGCCCTTTGCAGGCAGAAGTTAAAATGTTCATTCCTACCTTCATTGTTAGTAGCATTCTCTGCCATTGGGGCAGTGGCACTAGTTCCTGCTGCCATATCCAGGAGAGGCTGAATTATTTCAATTTTAAATACTCCGTTTTTCTGCCAAAGGTTTAGGACACGGACTATTTTACTCTGTAGAAACAAAAGTAAGCATCAATGCTGAATCCAGCTCTCCTTATTCACAAAGTCCCAGTTTATCTTCTGTATGTGGAGAAGAAAGGTTTGAACAGCACATAACATAACCAGGCACACCAATTTAACAAACCCTGTGTTGTGACACAGGGCAGCAACACCTTTTACATGGTTAAAAGAAAAACTTCCAACTTATTTTACTGTCTCCTTTAATAAAAAGCAATTTGTGACACTTTCCTAAAACTGTTCTGGCCAGTCAGAAATCCAGGTCTGATGAATAATCGAGGACATCACTTCAGCCCCATTTCTTCACAGATGGTCACCAAGGGTTGAACCAACCAACCAAGGTGACCAGAAAGAGAAAAGGAAAACAAGCTGGAAAGCCCTAAGGAAGAGAGAGGCAATTACACCAGGAAACACCAGAACAACACTTCAAAGCCAGGCTGAGGACTGCTTCCTTGATTTTATCCCTAATCCAACCAATTCCGTGTTGACTCCAGAAACCATCTCCATCATTGCTCAAAAGATCAGGAAAGCAAGTGGGAAACATCCTCACTGATCACTGCAGAAGGATTAATTTAGAATCTCTGATTGTCAGCTGTTATTTTAAGCTCTTTTTTTTTTCCTTTGACATGAAGAACAACGCATCTCTCAGGAACAGGCTGGAAATTAGCCTTTCCTTCTTTAGCCCAGCACTAAAACAATGTCTCACTAGTTGTGTTGCTTCAGTTGGAATATTCAGGCAGGTAGAAGTCAGAATACATGTTGTATAGCTGTCCTTTTGTAGGTTTAGTCATCTCACCTGCAGACATATAAGCTTCAAACACTTTTTACTTGGAATGAATTGATTCTGTCCCTTCTTGTTTCAACAATTAAATGTCTCAGAGTGACTCAGTTATCTACACCCATGCAAATCCACCTCTACCTTCATTAGCTAAGTGATTCAAGAATTTTACAAAATGTTTGCTAAAATAACATCAGCTAGAGAGAAACCTGAAATAGTCTATTTTTAAATAAGATTTTGGTCTGAAAAAACAGTTCAACTTGAAAACAGCAGAATATCAAAGCAATAAAATGCTATCTCTCCAGAAGACATGAAAATAGAATGAAGGCCAAAGAATGAGTAAATTTAAAAGTCCTGTTTTCAGTCACATTAATCTTACAGAAAGGCTGTTTAAAAGAAAAAAAAAAGTAGCATTCTCTTCAGACATCAACCACAGTTGTTGTGTATCTGCAGATCAGGTTTTTTGGTCTAGAAACTGGAAATCCATCAAAGCAAGCATGTTATAAATAATATTATTCCCTATATCAAGCAGCCCCATGAAGGAGATGGAGAGCCTAATTCATTTATGTGAACAAAATGGTAAGCACAGAAACAGAAAGGAGAAGGGACTGCTCTTTTTCACCAAGGTATTAACCCAGGAGCTCCAGGATATCAGATTCAAAGCCTGAAGGTCTAAATGTACCACATTAGAGAACTATGAACATCAAAGCTTTTCAAAAAGCTTATTTAGAAAGTTGGGGAAGAAGTCAGGTAGAAAAGGAGTATTTTACAGAGAAAAAGCGAGGAGGTGTTTTTCTGGAAACCAACTGGCGACTTCTGAAACATACTTATCTTGGATTTTCCTGCCAGGGCACAAAAGTCATTTTCTGTTGGTTACAACCAGGACCATCAGGAATTCAGGACACTTTCTGAGCCTCTGTTCTATCAACAAGTACAGCAGAACTAAATAAAACAAGGCCTTAAACCAGTGTTGGCAATGGAGAACAGCAATGAAACCCTCAGGTACAGGACTGGGAAAGACTGATGAAACCAACACAGTGATTTTCTTAGAAAACTTTTGTGAGCAGAATCATCACTGCCTACAAAACCAGAGCTGCTCCTGCAACACTTTTTGTGGGAGACACTGCCTTCCAGAGGAAGTTCTCCTGAAGCAACCTCAAGCTTTTGGCACAGTAACCACACAGTGCTGAAGTGTCTGCCCAGGCAAAGCTGATGAGGGTAGGCAAAATATATCTTTTAACTCCAACTTGCATTCAACTATCACCTTTGATCATCTTCCTCAGCCTGTTTTACCCTTTCCTACAGCAACAGTCATCTCCCAGGGACAGAGAGAATCACCCAGTTCACTGTCACAGGAGAGCAAACACCATGACCAATGCACAGCAACACTTGAGGAGTGACAGTCATACCTTGTCTTCAGATGGACACAGATACAAATACTGGAATGTGGCAGTAATATTTTTAGAGAATCTTGGCCCAAAAACATCTTTGTCTGTTCCAAACTGGTGCCGGGACTGACGAACAATGGAGTCAATCACGTACAGCCCAGGGACTTTGTACTCTGGTTTGCACTGAAACACAAACAAGAATTGTCCATCAGGCAGGGATATTCCCAGGAAACCTGCTCCTGGGGAGAAAGGGAGCACTGCATTCCAGCCTGTTGCTCTACATGCCCAGGCAAGCATGAAAACTGCCATTTCTGAAAGTATGGATTAACTTAGTGACAATTAATTTTAAGTTCAGTACCTCCAGTTTCCTCCCCAGCTGCCGGGTAGAGAAAAATTTCACAATTTGCTTTCCCCCCCCACTAATGTATGACAGAAAACTAAAATGAGGTTATATACACAAAAGTGATACCAAAATGTATAAAATGTATAAAATTCTAACAAACCAGGATTTCCCTGAGTAACAGAAGCCTTTCTGGTTATTTATTATCAATATCTAATAAATAACTTTATTAATAGATTTTTTTATTATTTTTGCTTACCTTTTTGATAAACTTCTCCACAATCTGGACAACATGCTTGTAGAGCTGGAAAATAAATAACATACATTAACATATCAGCTACTGAACAGTGGCACATCATCTTGGAAGTGTTTGTACTCATTGTGCTTATTACCACTTCAGAAAGAGTACAGAATATGGCAGTCACATTCTAAAAGGCAGGATGTTATCAAGCTAAATTAATTAATTAAAGCACAGAGAAAAGGATTTCATGGGAGAGACCCACACCCCAGGCATCCTTTCTGCCAGCAGTGTGGTGTCAGTGAGTAAGTGAAAGCTTTCTGGAGTTACTTTCTACACAGGATCAGCGTTTCCACGTGCTTCTAAAGTGTAGTTGCACCCTGCAACAGTTACAATTTTATTTCACAAGAATCACAACACCCTACTGGGTGTAGCATTAAAAAGCAATGACCCAAAAAAAAAAATAAAAAAAAAATCAAGCTGGCATCATGCTCCCAGTCCAAACCCAAGAGATGATGTTCACCACCCACTTGTTTCTACACAACAGCCTTAACACCAACCAGAATAAACCATCCCTGAGACTGGGAAATCCTGAATATTTACTTCAGAAGTGAAATAATAAAACATTGCTGCTGTTTACAGTTTGGTGTTTGTGCCTGTAATACTTTACCTTAATAGCTTTAATGGCAGCTTTTGTGATGAGAATCATCTTTGCTCGGGAAATAGGAGGTTTCATCTCCATCAGTGAAAAGAGCTGAATGGAAAAAACAAACATTAGAAATGTGTTCTGAAGCTTAAGGAATTCACCAAAAAAGACAACATTTCAGGTGGGTGAGGGATTTTTGGTATCCCACACTCTGTGCTGGCCACATTGCTGGCTGGCCCTGAGAGAACTTGCTATTTGACAACCCTATTTTGCTGTTTTACAAACTCTGCTGCCTTATTCTCCATAGGTCACCCAGGGGACAGTTCATTCCTCAAGGACGTTTTCAGGAGTTACTGGTCTTTATAGATGACATATATGTGTGTGTATATATATATATTTTATATATATGTGTGTGTGTGTGTGTGTATCTACACACACCATAACTGAAAATAAGCATTAGCTTTACATTTCAGAGATGAGGGAAACTAAAACTGGCACACAGAGTTGGGGAATCATCCATGAAGACATCTGGATACACTTTCCCCGGGATCCCAGCACCACCTGAACACTGTGACATGACATTCCATCCGTGTGGAATGTTTTAAGAGAACAGGGAACTGAGGGATTTGGGGAGATTTGTTGTCAGTAACAGCCTGGCACTCACACACACACACACCAGAGACCCCAGACTCCAATGCACATTGCACTGCTCTCCAGATCCCTCGGGATCCCTCTCTGGATCTGCAGTGAATTCTATCAGCTCCACAAGCTGCCCTTGGAAATTCTCACTGCAAAATAACCAGCTGCCAAAACCACCCCGTGCACTGCACTGTGTTCTTATGGCAAAACAACACAGATCTGCAAGGCTTCTACACACACACTTGTTTTTACCTTGAAATATTCCTCACAAATCATAGGGAAAAAAAAATCGTTTTGGGTTACATTATTTCATTTTGCCCTTTACAATAAAGAAAAAATTGAGCCCTTGAACACTAGTCAAAAGTGTCATCAATTATGTGCCACAAAGCAAAATAAGAGAATACAAATGTCTTCATTTGTCACTGTAATGGAAAGTAAGATGTCATTTAAAAATTTCTTCTCCTTCTAATTTTAATTCATTTAAGTTCCAAGATACTGGTGAAGTGACCAAGTTACACAGATTTATTCACTGTCTCAGTTAAGGAAAAAAAAAAAAAATCAATGAAGAAGACAAAAAAATTTGGCCAAATAAGGCAAGTGATTTGCTAACAAGGCTTTCAGCAGGACAAAGGGAGGCCTTACACCTATAAAACACAGAGAGCTGGCAACAAGGTATTTACTTTCTTAATTCAATTCCTGTTCCAGGAGATGTAACAGAGGAAAAACTGTCGTTCAAGACAGTGGTAGCCAGATGCCTTTTCCAGCACCAACACAAGACCATGAATTCTCATTATTCATCTCCATAAAATGCCAGTTCCAATGTTGGACTTTTAAAGCCATTTTCACTGTTAAACATATTTCAGCTTGATGAGAAATCACAGCAGGGACAAATAAAAACCGTCAGATAAAAGACAGAAGGAGAGAGGGGTCTGTGAGCTGACTTGGTTTTAAAAACAAATCTTGTTTTCAATTTGGACTTAACTGCTTTAAAATAAGTGCAAAGAACTCTCGATGAACGAAGTCAGTAATATTATTAAAACTCAGAAAATCTGTTTTAAGAGGTAATGAAAGGGGAAGAGAAATCGAAAGCCCAACACCCACAACAAAGCACCAGAAGGCTCAAAAACAGATGGAGGAGGAAAAAAGCAGCCAGCATTAAGACAGGCATTCCATATCCTTGCCTTTGCACATGGAGAAGCAACTGGTCCTCCAGCAACAGGATCCAGTCCCATATAGTAAGAACAAAGGAGCTGGTGTGAAAGCAGCACTTTGTATTTCAGGAACACAAGGAGAGACCCCCCAGGAAACTGGGAGGGCTCAGAGCAGAGCCCAAGGTAACAAGAAACAAGGGGCAGCAAAAATATAAAGAAAAGTATCTTTAAAGTATCCCAAGTTTGACACGAAAAAAATAAAACTCCAAGGAGAAAAACTGCCAGGGAGGACAAAGGCACACATACATATATAAATACATCTACAGTACATCTGCATGTGCATGTGTGTGTATATATATATAAAAAACTATTTGCCCTCTCTTCGCCCTCCCCATCACCATCTCTTGGAATTTTACAACAAAACTTTCCTACTTTTTTTCAAGTTACCTGAAATCTTCAAATATCAAATGACTACTTTAATGTGGATTTTTATTTAATTCTCAGTATTGGTTAAATGTGTCAACACCACGTTTTAAACACAGGTAAATCTAAAATTTAACACCCTTGCAAGTCCCTCATGGTTTTCCACTGGTAGAAGGGGTACCTGCTCAGTAAGCCACCCATGAATTTACATTTCCATATGTTCAATTAGACTGGGATCTTCTTCCACACACATTGCCCAAAGCAATACACCAAAAAAACCACCCCTATTTTCAGAGGATTGTTCTCACAATAATAAATCCAGTTCCTCAAAGGGCACCATGATCAGCCCAAGGAACAACCTGGACACAAAAGTTTACACTATTTAAAAAAATCATCGTGATGGATGCAACACAGGCAATGAAAATCTGTGGCTTGAGAGCGTTTCCAATGTCCTGCCTCACAACAGGAGCCTGTCCCTGGAATGCTCTGACCTTCTGCTTTCACTGACCATAACTGCAGGGTCGGAGGATGTTGGCACAAAAGAAGTGGAGGTATTAAAGAGCCCACTAAACTCCAGCCACAGCACACAATATTGATTTAAGAGTATTTCTGGGTACTTTTCACAGCAGCACGGAAGGAAACTCTAAAGTATCTGTAAAGCAAAGAGCTTAAAAGGCAGAAAATTCACCTGCTCGTTTTCAGGCTGATAAATGCTATTTAACAACAAAGGGGAGCTATTCATTAAACCACGGCAGGACAGCAAAAGGGAGACTAACACAGTGAGCCCCGAAATTAAAACTTTATGTGAAGTACAGAAGCACCACAGAAAACACACGGAAGAAGTGAACCAAGACACCTTCCAACTCCAACTGTGCCCCTGCTCCAGCTCAGGAGGTGCCAGGAGGGGTGGGAAACAGGACAAGGATGATGATGGCCTTTAGTTCTCAGCCTTTTGAGCAGCAGATTATTAACTCCTGTCATTCTACAGTTAATGCCCTTTGCTGGTCTATTTTACATAGGAACCTGAGAACCACTATTTTAAAATTTACTGAGCTTGATGTGCAATCTTAAGTCTATCTGCTTTAAGCATGAGATAACCCAGTAGGAAGGTAAAAATACCTTCTAGGGCTTGAACTGGCTTCCCTGGCTTTGCTCTCTTGCTGAAGTGCCTCTGCCATAAAAAGTTCTCTTTATTTGCAAATAAAGAGCTACGGGTCTGTTTTATACACTCATTAAACCAACCCCCCAGCACAGCAGCAGCACGGAGAGAAGCACCTACTAAAACAAACACGGTGTTTAGTGATTAGTGGGTATCAAGCACTCAGGTCACTGTCAGGACACCTCATTCAACCTCCCCTTCTCCAATTTCCAGAGCAGTCTAACACGCCCTCAATGATTCAATCAAGCCTTAGGTGTCCAAAAACACTTCCCAAAGCAGGTTTCACCCACAGTCAGTACATTCATTCACCAGTTTTTGGAATGTGTTTTATTTATGCATTTAGAAAACATGAGACACAGTAAATCACCAGACACTTATGGGTATATAATTGTAGTTACTTGTTTGTGTGCCTACAGAAGCAAAAGGATGATGGAAGACACGACCAACGAGCACAGATGCCACACTATTTTGTTAACAAAACTTTAAAAGGGCAGATGTTTTAGAAAATCCAAAGGAATTCTGCTGGCCCTGTACATTTTCCTTCCCCTGAAGAACTTGCTGCTTCCTGTCCTCCTCAGGTTCTTCCTCGAGCTAAGGAAAGGAGAAAGAGCTTAGTAACAGATCATTCCCTATCTCAGATGATCAGCAAGTTTTAAATGCTTGACCACTAGCACCAGGTGCTGCTGAAGGTAAGAGATCACCATAACACCCACAGCTGTCAGGCTGCATTCTTGGGAAAATAAAGTGACATTTACATTTGACCAGATATGACCCCCAGGCAATGAAGCCAAACAGCACTTCATCGACTCAGCCACTTCTGTGGCCTAGAAAGGCCTTCCACAAATCCTGAAACACTGGGGAGAAACCCCTTCACAAGGGATCCTCATCTGAAAATGACATCGTGGAAGTACACACAGAAGAGAGCTCTGTTTTCTGCAGAAATGGTTTGGAAATGCAGCTCTCGGGGCCAGGGCAGGGCTCTCATGTCCCACACATCTCCTGGAAATACTGCTTGTCTCACTTCTCTTACCAGGAATCCCTACTGGAATGTCACAGCTTCCAGTATTCCTGGAAACAAGTTCAGTGAGGAGGCAAGAGACTCCAGCCAGATGCTGGCAGTTGTGTCCTTGCTGCTTTTCCCTGCACATCCAGACTCTCACCGGGGATCCCGAGCTCCAGCAACTGCTGGAGAACCACTGGGAAGGATATCCTGCCAACCTCTATTTATAGCACCTGGGGAGGGAGGGGAAGACTCTAATAGAACAGGCAAAATAAAGCCTTGCCATTGGCATAAACCAGGCAGGCTGGATCAAAACCCCAACTGCCCTGAATAAGGGCCAACAGCAAAGAAGGATCCCGCAGCTCCAGCTCGGAACAAACAGCCCACAAGATCTGCCACCTCCCTGTCTCTGGGCACCTTCAGGTGGGATATCAAATGTTTCAGTGGTACAGATTAACTACTGTCAACCTGAGACACACCATTAAAGGAACAGGGTGCGTTACTCAACACAAATAAAAGATTACAAAACAAGAAAGTTGGCACTTTTTTTATTATTTTCAGCAGCAAGACTGTGCAAAAAAAAAATAAATCACTTTTTCTAACTTTTATAACCAGTAAACTATGCCTCAAGTTTTTCAGATTAAAGAAAAGGAAACACACATCCCCTAAACTGAAATATGCCAAGGATTTATAAACCATGGCAGCTGTGTGGGTTTGGTGAGGGGGTTTGTT